TTGCAGATAAATTAGTTAGTTCTTCTTTCTATAGTCTGAGCTTTATTCTTGTATCTAAATTTGTAACTCTGAGCAACCTTATGTAGTTTCTCTAACAAGTTTATCAATAAAGATAAGAACAAAACCTCAACTTAAAAAAAAAAAAAAAAAAAAAACCTCTTTAGTATTATAAATCTTTTGTTAACAAAAGCTTATTTATATAATATATTTATATAGAAATTTTATATATTAGATTAATAGTTTTTAATAATATTTTAACAACTATTAGACTAATTTAGATAATCTAACTATTATTAGTTTCTTTAGCTTTTTTGATTTATTTTTGTCTTAGTTAAATATATCTTAATAAGCTCTACAACTTTTAATTAATTGATCTAGTTTGTTAACTTAGTATAAAAAAGTTTTAGATATATATATACTATATTTATGAAGTATATTATTTATTTATAATTTATATAGATAAGTTATTATATATTTTTTTTTTTTTAATGTTAAGATGAGGTTTTGTTTTTATCTTTATTAAAATTTGTGTAAGATTCTACAAGAGGTTTCTCAAAAATACAAATTTGCTTACAAGAATTAAGACTCAGACTATAAATAGTAGACTATCTAATTTATCTGCAACTTAAATCTACTAGAACGGTTAAAAACTCATCTAGATTTGAATGTTTATAATAGAGTTAGATGGATAACTATATTTAGTTCACAAAGTAGACCAAATATCAATTTTGTGTCGAGCTAGTCCAAGAGGAGAGCATAGATTATTATTGTTATATAGTTGATTAAGTTGGCCATATAAACATATATATATATAGCCTATTTTGAAATAACTTGAATATAGTAGTTGTTGTGAGTGAGTAGTTTTTTGAAGTTGGTTAGGAATATTATTTGTAGTTTTTTATTCAGCTAGTTTAATGCAATAAGGCTTTTAAATTTGCTCATAAATATTATTAGAGAGTTTTAAAAAGAATTGAGTAGTAGGTTTTGAAGCTGTTTTGTATGTATTAGTATAAGTAGCAAGTAGTTCAATAGAGGAGAAAGGTATAAATTCTTGAAGAGTAGTTTCAATTGTTAGAGTATTTTGAAAAAGTAATTAATGTTGAAGGGATGGATAAGCAGTTAGTTAGTAGTGTAGTTCTTGAATTGTTTAAGTAAAGAAGTTAAATAATGCTTCTGTAAAAAAGTTTTAGACTGTTTGAAGTATTAGAGTATGTATAGATTGATTATTAAAACAAAAAAGCTAGTGTTGAGAGTTTTCCTGTTCATTACAAGAGATGCAATTATTATGTTTAAAGATATTTGGATAGAGTTGATAGAGGTATGATAATGTTAGGAGATTATTTAACAGATTTTTAATTCAGAAAGATTTTTGATGACTAAGTTAGAGAGTAGTGAAGTTGTATAATCATTTTTGATTGTTATTAAGAAATAGCTATGTTGTGTTTTAGTTAATATATTGAAATATATATAAAATATTTTGCATACGCCTTTGAAAGAACCACAAGGCTATAATATATGAGTTGCAAATATTTTTAATTAGTTTTCATGCAAATTGTTCAACAGGAAAGTTTTCAAACTGTAATATGTAGTAGGAGTTGTAAAGATTACTGTAGACTACTGTATATAGTACCTCTACAAAATAGTATCCCCCATGATTAAGACTCTGGTATTATTCACTATTCACGATAGTCAGGCTATAGGTAGTATTCTGAGTACTTTTCAAAGTTAGTCTTATAAAAATTAAATAATACCTGAGTACTAAAAATAATAACAATTTACCATAATATTATTTAAAAAGATAATATGTATGTTTTCTGTGCAAAGTAGACACAGCGTACATTTTGCATAAAACTTATATGGCTTAAGTCAATGCACTTTATTGTTACTATAATTTGCTATAATTAAATAAATTATTTGTTTTAAACTAAGACTATTTAAATTTAAAGATTTATTTAACGTTCCTTTTTTTCATATTTTCTTGAAGGGGGGAGAAGAAAAATTAAACAATAAAATTAAACAGACCCAAATTTAGGTCTAAATTAGGTTCAAATTGTACCTAATTTGGGTTCATTTATACCTGGAGTTTTTTTTTGATTTATTTATATTTTTATACTCGTTTTCTATTGGCTTGTTTAATGTTGGAGTGGAGCTCCAGTGGTAGAGAGAGGAGAAAACGTTAAATAAATTTTTAAATTCAAATAGTCTAAGTTAGAAAGAAATTGAATTTTGTATCTTAAATTTTAAGTGATTCGCAAACCCAGATTTTAATTTTAATTTTTTTGAAAAAGTTCACTTGGAAATACAATAGAGTATCATAAACTTTATTTTCAATATTTACAAAATAAGCTCAGCCAGATTATAAAAATAGAAATTAACTTCGCCAAGCTTAATGTAGTAAAATTATATATTGAGAGCTTTACAATTACTAAAATTTTTGAATTGATATGCCTAAATTGATTTTTTTTTTTTTTTATATTTTTTGTTAATATTCAACTTTTTAATAGATCCTTCAAATTTTTTTTGTTATTTGATTTGCTAGATAATTACTTTTAATCTATGTTTTGTGGTTAATTAAATCCAAACATTAACATAATTTCTTTCTTCACTTTTATAGTGTTCATAATACTTGCGTTCATGATCATTTTCATTATTTTTATCTTCTGCACTTTCTGAACTTAATTCATTACTTTCTTCCTCTTCTTCGATACTAATCCTTCCTTTTTCACCTGAGACTTTCCCAAAATCAAAAATTGAACTATCTTCAGAGCTATCCATTTCAGGGAAAATTCCACAACATTTAAAAGATCATTGTATCATAGTAGGATCAATATTATCTTATGCTTCCTTAATCCATTTTGTCACTACTAAGTATGATGAACATTTAATTTTACCTGTTGGTGTGTATTCCTTAATAGCTTCATCCATCCACTGGTTGTAAGCATGGCAGACCTATTAATAAAATAAGTAGTTTATTAATTTTACGCTATTGTGATTATTCATTAATATATATATATAAGCAAAAAAAATTTTAATACCTGATCTTGAATTTGATCAGGTGGAGTGTGTCATGACTAGTGATGAGAAAAAAGCATAATATCATATATGTTTATACCTATCACTAGTCATAACACACCTGCTCTATAAAAAAAGTTTGTTCAGTTCTTGTTCAGTTTTTGTCGATATTGTTCAACAATATCGACAAAAACTGAACAAGAACTGAACAAACTTTTGTTATAGGGCTATGCTAAGTTACATATTTCATCTTAAACTCAATTTACTTAATTTTTACAACTAACCTTTGCTTTAAATACTTTATTTAAAGACACATCCAACAGTTGTAAATGTGAGGTTAGCCTACTAGGAATAACAGCGATATCAGTATTTCTTTCCTTAAAACGATGCTTTACAGAATCCATTATATGAGCAGAAAATGAATCAAGAACAAGAAGTGAATGTGGATTTGAGCCCAAATTAACTTTTCAATACTACACGTTCTCCATCCACCAAATCATTTCTTTCTTATTCATCTAGCTACTTGGATTTGCATGAACATATACACTATCTGGAAACTATTCTCAGGGCACATTTACTAATTTAAAAATAATAAGTAGTAAAAGTTTAGTACTATCTGTAAGACAAGCAAGGGTTACTATAAAACAGGTACGTTTATGGCCTGTTGTAAAGGTTGAAATAGTTCGTGTTCCACATTCTGCAACAGTTGTTTAACTTGGCATATTAAATGCTATTGAGGTTTCATCTATGTTTCTAATTAAGTTTAAAGGGTAATTATGTTCAGTTCACAGATATAAAACATAAGATAAAAAATTTTATTGTTCTTAAACATATTCTTCAGACAATCATTAGGCAATTGTAGTGCATCTGCGGTTAACTAACAAATAGCAGGACATAAAACTATCAACTCACTTATGAGAAAATTTACACTCATGAATATCAGAATACAAGATACGATATTCTTGTTTAGTGGCAATATTACAAGCTTTTGCACTAATCATATATCTGGTCACTGTTTTCAGCTACCTTCTTAATTCACGAAACCACTTTAAAAATTTATTCTCAAGTTGTGGATACTTAGGTCGTGCCCCAATATTGAGTTATTGAACATAAGGTGCTATACGTATCAAGTTATATTTTTTTTTCTTCCAGTTGCAAACTTGTTTCAGTTCAATTTCATATTTACTTGCTATTGCCTAAATGCTATAGCTATTTTTCTGATAAAGTATAACTATCAACTTCTTACGAGCATTCTATTGTTGGCATTTTTTTTGTGAAATTTTTGCTTGTTGTACTTTAAAGTTTCTTTTTGGCATTTTTTTTTTCTATTTGAACTGCTAAATTTATAAAATTTATAGGTACAGTATTGATCTAAAAAAGTTTTATATTTTTTATATAGTCATGAGGTGTATCTAGTAATACAGAATTAGCCTTAACTGTAACACCTCGCTAATTTATTTAAATCTATAAATATTCTCTTTTAAAATAATATCTTAACCTATACTAGTTTCTATTCTTTCACTACCCCTAAAAGTATAATTTAGAAGTCTTTTCCTCCACTAGAATCAAATTGGTTATTAGAAAAATAAAGGTAAATTAAAAGCGGTATTCTAATAAAGTTCTTACCTATACTTTCTGATCTTACTTTCTTCTTAAGTTGATTATTTCTAAGATCCAAATAGATTAAAGCAGTGTTATGTAAAGTGTTGCTACTGCTTTCTCTTTTAAAAAAATATAAGCACTTACTTAAAAAAAACAGACGAATAAAGATGTATTCTGCATAATAAAAAAAAAAAAAAAAATAACAGACGAATTGATTGTAGTATTTTTATAAAGTTTTAAACTGTTCATTAAAAATAATAAAAAAAATATCATAGTGGTATTTCTGCAAAGAGTTTTCACTACTGCTTTTCCCTTTTAATTCCAAGCCAAATATATATAAATATATACAAGTCACTCTCATTATAGTAAAGTGATCTGTTCCATTAATAAAAATTATTTAAAAATTCTAAAGACATGATATAGTGAAGTTAAGCTCAAAGCCAGTCTATATAAAATTCTCTCGATATAGTAAATTTACTAATAAAGCTCTCAATTATATCAAGAGTTAACTACATATAATGAGAGTAACTTGTTTTTTTTTTTTTTGTTTTTTTTTATTTATTTATTTTATTTTTATTTTTTTTTATATAGAGAGGTCTAAGTACATTTTTTGCTAAATGCCTCTGCTAATGTATTTTATTTCAATGATCTAAGGAGTCAAAGTAGTGTCTATCTTTGTTACATTTTTGGGTTTTCGGCTAGTTATTTAGATGCTTATGTATGTTCTTACATTAGTGCAATATATGATTATCTTTACATAAGACTCCCGCATATAATACCCTCTGATATAGTATATTCCCCCTCAAATAGTACCTGGTTCTTTACACAATACCTACAGGTACTATTCAATTTTAAAGATGGAAGTTTTGAATAAGATCCTAGGTACTATATACAGTGGTCTATGATAGTATGATTAAATTGTAGAAGAAATAATAGTGAATGGTGTTTAGCTAGATAATTAGTATTGTCATTATATAAGTTATTACTATATGCTTGTATTTTGTAAAATTCAATATTAAGATTAAAAGATTTAATATAGTTAAGTAAAGTGATCCAAAAAGGCTAGTATTGTAATGAAGAGATTTTGGATACGATAAGTAGTTTTTTTGTAAGTTTGTTATATTTAAGAATAACAGATAAAGAGTCTGTATAAATTTGAATTTGGCTGATGTGAGAACAAGTACTTATAGCTTATAGAATTGAAACTAGTTTAGCTTTATAAGAAAAAGACCAAAATTGAATTTGTGCAAAGAATTTGTGAAGTATTTGGTTATTACAAACTTGAACTCATCCAATGCCTATAGAGCATTAGTTAGTACAAATGTTAATAACTGATTTATCAATGTAAAAAACAAATTAGTATTGATTATGGTTTGTTTGGTAAATTGCTTCAAGTTGTTGAGTAGCTTTATTAGATTTAAATATTGTAGTAATTAAAGATGAAGTTATTTGTAAAGTTGGAAGTGAAGAAATAATAGAAGGATTTTGAAGTATAATAGAGTAAAGAAGATCTAAGTAGTTTGCATTGAGTTTAAGCTTGTTGGAAGAGTCTGTATATGTTTTTCAGCCAAGAAATTTGGTCGAAAGAGTAGCTGAAATTTCTTAAGTACATGAATTAGTAATCTTTTTAGAATTCAGACTACAGCCTTGACAAGGTAAATATGTTGAGTTTGAGTAAAGATAAAGATCAGCAGAGTCAGAGTTAGGTTGTATTAGCCAATGAGTAATTGATATCATATTTCTTTTTAAATATAAATGTTGTGTTTTGCTAATAACAACTGTTGTTGAGAGTAGCAAATAAGTTATTAGCCATGGTTTAGCTCTTGTGCTAAAATATCCAGTAGTATAAGCAAGAGAGTTATTTGCAGGTAGCTGAAATTGGTTTGAGATAGTTTTTGTAAAGGAATTATCTAAAATCACTGTCTCTAGAGTTGTAAACTATTTAGGTTTGCAGCTTTTAGACAAGTAGTTTAGTTTTAGAAAAATATGAGTCTAGTTTAGGAGAATATGATTATCAGCAAAGGTTAATTGTTCAAAAAATAAGATTTGTTTAGTTCGTAGTTAGTGTTTAAAGGAGTTGTAGAGATTGTTGTTTTAGAGGATTTTTTCCAAAAGTATGTATAGGTCTGAGATAGTAGTTAGTTGTCTGTTGTTAGTATTTGTTAGAATAGGAATATTTAGATGATTAAAAAGTAGAATGATTTTAAAGTTTGTTAAGTTTTTGTTAGAACTATCAATTTGGGGTTGTGAATAGTGTAAAATATTAGTTGTAGACTACAAATTATTTTGCAGTTGTTGTAATCTGATCTGAGTAGTAATACCTAAGAGCCCTGTATCACTAAGTTTAATTAAAAAGTTAGAGATATAGTATTGAAGTTGAATGTCCTAAATGTTTTTAATACTATAAATGTTATGATTAGGTAAAGTGCTGTTAGAAGTTGTAGAGGCTAAGCTAGCTTTATGTTTGGCAACAGTAAGATATGAGCTAAGGATTTTGTTGCATGTTGTTTGAGTAAGAACAATATTATATATATGATATTCAAGAATAAGTATAATCACAGTATTAATAATATAGCTAACTTGTTTGTCAATTATATACTTTGTTTTAAGTATATTAATTAGATTAAGTATTTTATTAGTGATGAGTTTAGTTTGTTTAGTTTGTTTGCTATCTAAAATAAACTAGTATCCAAGAAATTTAAATAGTATACTAGATTATTGTAGTTGTAGAGAAGAGTTAATAAAGTTTAGTTGTGATAGTTTTTTAGTATTTGTAATAAGAACTGATTTGTGAAGATTGATTTGAATATTAGCTATCTTGTAGAAAGATGGTGCTGTTTGTGTTATTAATTCTAAGCTTGACTTAGAATTAGTAATCCATAGTGTATTATTTATATAGGCTAATACTGAAGATGATATGGTTAGCTTGTTGTGTCTGTTAGTAAGAATAGAATCCTTGCAGATTACAGACATAGTATAGTCTTTATAAGAAGTAGAGATCTTGTTAATAAGAGAGTTGTAGTAAATGCACTATAGCAAGGGAGAAATTGTTTCTTCTTGGTCAATGCTATTATTGACATCATAAGGTTCAGTAAGTTTTAAGTTTGTAATTACTCTGTTTGTATGGTTAGTTAAGAGATTAATTATGATATTATATAGTTGAGAAGGAATTTGAATTCGTTTTAAGGCAAGTTTAAGAAGATCAAAATTAACAGAGTTATAAGCTTTACTTATATTCTAAGATAGAAGTCATAGCTCTTTTTTGTTATAGTATGAATTTTCAATTATATTATTTAATATATAGATAGGAGTATTTGTACTGTTCTCTAATAGAGCTATGTAGTTGTGTGGGTTAAGGATTTTGTGAAAAGTAAAAATTGAGTTAAATCGAGTAGTTAGAATTTTAGTATAAAGTTTTTTGATGTGTTTAATAAGACTGATTGGACATGTATTATTGAGATCCTATCAAAGGTAGCTTTTTTAGGAATAGGAAAAATGCAACTATTTTGTCATTGTTTTGGAATTGTTTGTATTGTTAAGTATTAGTTAAGTAGTACTATAATTGTCTGAATTGTGTTTAAGCCAGAATGCTTTATCATTTTATAGCTAATTTTTTTTTCCTTTTCAGCAAGCCATGCCTTATCATTTATTCAATGTAATTAAAAAACTACAAGGGTTACAATGTCTAACTTAACAACCAAAGAAGGCGGTACATGTCAAAGTGTGAACATCAATGGTAAGACTCGACTGGTTACTCCAAAGGTACCTATTCGCGACCTGCTATAATGTAGTTTTAATTCAA